TTTCTTTCTTATGTCGTTTATTACTTTGGAAATTAAATTGCTAAAATCAGCAAACAGAGCTCTTGTACAGAACAAAATATTCATTAGTCTGTAATTTTATTGTTTATCATCATTATCGCACAGTTCACAATAAGGAAACTGTAAGAGGAGAGGATTTTTAAAGTCACATGTCGCGTGCCTGCTGACGTTCGAGTTCCTGTGTGTAATAACTTCAGCTTTTCCAGACCGCGGATGACGGGAAATTCTGCCCCCCTCATTTGAAAGGAAATATCAATAGCCCCATAAAATTCATTAACTGCGCCATGTTTCCAGAAAATAAGACTGTAAAATTCTTTTTCCACTTTCCACCATCAAGAAATTCCACTTAGAAATAGTATTTGTATCTTTGTATTTAGTATTTGTAAGTTCTTAATCCTTAATCCATTATTTTCGCTGATTATTATGGCTTTTCCTGCGTGCACGTGCGAGCCAGTTGGTATACAGTACCCTTTCGAATTTCTTTGCATGGTGTCGGGCCTAAGTGTGTAGGTCTGGCACGAAAGATATCTGCACGCTGCAACACGGGTTCCTATGTTTTCCCCTTTTTCTTTGTATTTTTATTCTCTTTCTTGCATTATCACACATGTATGTTATTTTAATTCCCTCAGCGCGTTCCCTCAGATTTGGAAGTAGGCTATGAAAAGTCAATATTGACCAGAACTGAAACCTTTTCTATCACTATTTGTTTCAAAGAACCCCTGTTATTTATAACTTTATTTCTCAAGAAATTTTATCTGCTATTTATTTCCATTAGAATATCAAACTAGGTCCCGATAAGTTTTTTTGTTTCGTGACTCCCAAAAACTGTGTTTGCGACAACATCAATTGAGAAGTCCAAAGCAATTGCGCCCGAGAAAATTCGCTTTAAGCCTTCTAGCCGCAGAAGGCAAATCCGCGTAATGAAGCGTTCTAAGACCTCTGTAAACTAGAGACATAACGTGGACGAGGATGTAATTTGTTGAGGGGTCAAATATTTTTACAAAAAATCTGTGACCCTCAAACGGATCACATATGTTAAAGGCCTGAATGTAATAACTGCCCTAAATGTAATAAAGTCCTAAATATAATAACATTTAGTCCTAAATGTAATTAGATTCCAATGCAATCGTTCAACTCCTTCAATGCATTGTTGTTATGGCGGACATCCACATTGAGATGTTGAAGTGACAGCTGTTGCACCAAAAAAAACCGCTGATCAGTATACATGTCACATTACGGGCCCGCTGATATCGTCAGCGTCTTTTTATTTGCTAGACATTAGGCGAGAAGCATTGGCGGCACTCTTTTGGCATATTCACTGGCTGTTATTTTCTTCATAAATTAGACATGTACTTCTAGCTGTTTCTAGCCTCGAATCGTCTTTTAAGCTGAGTTAGTCGGCGAAACGCAGCAATTTTGTTCCTAGGGAGCTCAATGTTTTCGTCTTTCAGAGGTAGCGGAAGCACGTAGTGGCCGTCATCACAGCGGTGAGTCTCTTGTTAGGCTATCTCAAGAAACTATCTTTCTTCTTTGGACGGTCCATGTCTCGATTTATACGACTTGTGTTCCATAAAATCGAGTTCAAACATCTGATTGATCGCAGATGGATTTGTCACCTCTTTTGTTTTTCCGTTGAAAATAAAACTTAACTTGCTGTCGTCAGCACTAGAAACAACTTCTCTAGCCAAGATGCAATGACACGAAGATTCTAGGGTGTAGTCTTCCGAGGGGGTGTCTAACGTCGCAACTAGTCCCACAATGCTCCATCCTAACAAGGCAAATCCTGCACAGGGTTTATCACTTATACCACGAATTATAGCTGTTGGTTCAATCGCATTAGGACAGTTGCAATCGATTAACAAGCCAATTTCCATATTCTCTTCATACGGCAGGATTTTATCCTTGATTCTCCTAAGGTGAGGCCAGTTGTTTACTAATTCCGGTCTCGGTATCTTGTCTTGTCTGGACGGAATGCTTTGCCTTGCGTACGCCTTAGGTAAGTCAATTTGGATGCGTTTTTCGAGATGCTGTACTACCAAACCATCAACTCTTTGTACCGTTAACCTTTCGCGACCAAGCATTGTGCTCAAATCCAAACTTGGTTCAACGCCTTCAATACCGAGTTCGCGCAGTACTTGGGTGGTGACAAAGGCTGTGTCACTTACATCGTCCGAGAGCGCATAAACCTTGGAAAATTTTGCAATTGGTAATTAGACTAGTGGATTCGCCAGCTGAGCTGTGCACTACACTGATAAGATTAGAGCTCGCGGATTCCTTGACTGGCGTTTTCTCACTGGGCGTTTCTTTCTTGCTAGAGGATTGCTGATTTTCGTGTGCCTTGGGGTTGGGCTGCTTGCTTAGTGTAGACCTCGGTTTCACGCCATGCAGTAGTGTATGGTGATATCTTCCACATTCTTTACAAGTAGATGGGTTCTGACATCTTGAAGACACGTGACCAGACTTAAAGCATCCGAAACAAAGACTCTTGCTGCGAATAATTTGACTGCGTTCGTCAACTAAACTCTTTAAAAAATTTGCTGCAATTGAAGAAAGCATGCTGACCGTTGCAAAAGGGGGCAAGGTTGATCGACTTGATCTGCTGAAGTTCTTGACGGTGGCTGAGCGGTTGCTATTGCAAAAGAATATGCACTTAGTCTGCCTTTGGTCCTTTTGTTTTATCTGCCTCTACATCCCGACCTTGTCTAGGTATCGGTTTTCTTCCTTTCTGCTTTTAAGGCATCCGGTGAGAAAGTAAGGTCGTTCGCCAGCTCTGCTTCTTTCCCGAAAAACTTCGTAAAGTCGCTGGAGGCAAAAATCGTCTTAGACTTCATCTGTGCTTCATGGGCATGCTTGCACCATTTTACTGTAGGGTAAGAAGGCAGTTTGTTGCTTGCGAGGTGGGGGGTTTCTGTCGAGTTGAGGCTCCCATTGACTGCATAGTCTTCGTAGCTTCTTCACAGCGTACGCGGAAATCAGCAAAGTCTTGGATACCACCACTGTCTCCATCGTTGATCTTTGGCCAGCTTTTAAGGCTAGACTTGTAGGCCTCTGCTACATGGATGGGGTTCCCAAAACGGTGGTCAAGCATCTTTCGAGCCCTTTTGTAAGCGCTGTCGGAGCTGATGGCCAGGTAGCCTTTTACAACGTCGTTTCCCTTGCCTTTAGTGTAAAAAAAAAAGTAGATCTCTGTTCGAAGGCACACTTTTAGTAATGATGGGATCGAAGGCAGTTATGAATGCTGGATATTCGAAGTAGTCTCCAGAGAAAACAGGAGGTTCGTTTATCGGAAGACGGTTTATTTTTTGCTGATTGATAATTAACGAGCTCAACTCTGTTTGCGTCGCTTGTAAGCTGACTATCTGCTGAAGAGTTGTATTGACGCCACTATCCTGGAAATGCGGCGTAATTGCAGGCTTCGGTATCGAGGGCTCAAAAGCTGGCACAGGATGGCTTCTATTAAAGTTCTAAGACTAGACTGGTTGAAGTGAATTTCAACGATAACAAAAGTACATGGAAGTTCTATTTAATGCATTTCTTAAAAGAAATTGGGGGCTTTTTCATTTTTGACTGCAACTATGCAATGAAAGATCTTCAAATAGCATTAGTTTCCTATAGAACTTTCAATAGAACTTTTACAGTGGTGGTCAAAATTCCGGGACCTTTTCTCCGAAGAGAAACACTGGTTATTTACAATTTGGAACAATAAAGATATAAGAATTGAGGGAAAATCTGTGTTTTACAAGACGTATTTTGATTCCGGAATTTGCACTGTTAAAGATCTGTTACTAAATCTAAACAATACTGAATCCTTTGAAGTAATACGACAACAAATACAAAAGGCCAATTTTCTTAGATGAACGGGGCTTAGACATTCTATACATTCCAAGTTAAAACAGCTTAAGGTAGGTTAAATAGTGACATTCCCTGTTTTAAGTACAACAATGTTATTTGTAATATTTCCAAAACAAAATCAAAAGATTTCTATTCCATGGTTATCATCAAAAAAGCTCAGTTACCTAACGCAAAGAAATTAAGGCAAAATTTGAACTTAACTGAGAAAGAGTTGAAACTTGCTTGAGAGAGATCTTTGGTGAATTCTTTCGCAAGATCTTGATCTTCGGTCATCTTGTGTCTCATGATTGGTTTTACGTCAAACTTACTCTGTGTTTTGATACTTGCAAAGTAGAGGCATATCCAGAAGGTTTGTGCTTCTGATATTCATTCGTGAAACTCTTTTATGGGTTTTTTTCACAGGTTTCACTCTTCTCCGTGCAGTATTCGAAATTGTCATAATGACGAACTGAACTGGCATCTTGCGGTAGAAATTTAATTCTACCTTTTCACCTTCTTCTGGCACTGTGATGGCGACTGGCTCATGTTCTTTGCAGTTTTTGATGTGTTTTGATCTAACTTCAACGCTGTTGAATGAATTCAGACTTCTCATGCGGAAGTAAACTTGCCCGTGATGATCAGAAATTTGAGATGAAAGACGTCTACTCATGTCCTTGATGAGAAAATAATGCTTGTTCCCTTCATCGTTATAACCAAGAATATTTACAAAACTCCCTTGATTTCGTCTTTTAAATCAACCGATATCTTTCAAATTCATGAGGAATTCAATTCCTGAGAAATCTAACTGATCGACTTTGTCTCTCAAATCTGAAATTCCCTGAGGGTTTTTCTCAACTCGGGTGAGGTGTCTGAGAATGCACCACCGAAAGCATTCCTCATCTTCTTCATTCTTGATGTTAATCGCAACCTTCTCCGCCGAGGGAAAAAGTTTGTTGTAACACGATCCACCCAACAGTTTGAATTCCGCAAGGCACATGTCAAGTGAAGTGATACTTTGAAACCTCCAGTTGCTCCCAATCTTGTTGAAGTTTTGAATCAGTTCCTGAATCTTCTTCACGAAGATGCTAAAGACTTCGTCTTCATCAGTCGCTTCAAGAATCTCGACCACATCAGTGGAGAAACGAGCTTCTTTAATCTGGATCGATCTGTTTGACCTTCTTCTCACGATTTTTTCCCATCAACCTCAAGAATTCAGGTTTTGCCTTCTCCATGCACCTTTCATGATTGTAAGCTCCGACACCTTTGATCTGGAATTGCCTTAAGAAACCTGTCAATATGATTGCAGATTCAATTGCGACAAATCGGTGGGGAAGAGTTGAAGGTGTGTATCCCTTGACAAAATCTTTCCGCTTGTCTCCCATTTCCGTCTCTGTCAGACCTGGCCTTCTCAACCCAAGCATCTCCTCGATTTCTCTTCTCTGTTTTTCACCTCCTCATTTCTTTCACTCTACGGTTTGACATATCTTGTTGGCATGAGTTGACGGGAGCATCAATGTCAGGAAATGTTTGATTGAGAATGCTCCTGACTTTGTTCGAAGATCCTTTTATCAGCTCAAGAAGATCCAACTTTCTCAGTCTTGAATATCCTTTGAGTCCGAGTCGTTTTGCTTCCGTAATCAAATCATTTTGGGTAGAGAAAAAAAAATTTTTTTTTTAAATTTCAGATCTCAGCGCAACATTTGTCACTCTGCTTCCTCGAGTGACAAAAGTTTCATTGTCTTGAAATTTCGTAATCAACGCCATTGACATTGAATCCACCGCCATCTTTCATCGCCTTGGCAAGTTTGCTTGCACAGACACCCAGAAAATCGATCACTTCTTTGCGTGTTTTGAGCTCATGCAAGTATCTCATGATCACCCTCACTGAGCAATATGTATGGTTGTGATCTGATGTCCTCATCATCCGAAATATCAAGGCCAAGTGCCTCCTGCAACTCTCTCTTCGTGAGGCATGAGTAATTTTTGATCTTCTTTTCAAGCGCCATAGCAAGAAACATGAAATGAGTCAGTTTAGGTTTTCGTTCTCTGCTCCTAGGGATGAAATCAATGAAATCTTTCTTTTTCCTGAGATTCCACTGTCCTTTTAGACCTGCTTCTGCGGCCAACTTTCTCGATTCAAGCATCTTTTTTCCCTTCATCTCTCCATCCGTCATTCCAAATAAATCTCTCATTTTGAATAAAGATAAAAAAAAATTGAAGAGGAAAGTTTTTTTGTCAGGGAGAAGAGGTGTGGGAAGATGCTTAAGGACGATGTGCACAAGGCTTAAAGGTAACCGTGGATATGCAGGAGCAACATGACCTTAGCAACCGCGGATCCGAAGTACCGTCGATATCTAGTGACTCAGTTTTACATACATTTCATATCTCTTCATTTGGTACGAATGGCCGAAAGATGTGTTAAATTTCAGAATTTTTATCGAGAGATGGACAAAGAAAACCCATTTGATCTCTTGTCGAATTCAAGCATCAACTTTTTCCGCTTATCGTCAGCAGAGAGCCAAGTTTTTTTTCATATTTTTTCTTGATCTCTTCCCTCAAAGCTTCGACATCAATTCTCTCTTCGCTCCTGGAAGGGTATGTTTGTCTGAGCTTCTCTTTCAAAACATAATATTGCTCAACCTTTCACAGTCTCGCGTTTAATTCAATATCTGAGATTTACTTGTCATCCAAAGCTTTTGAGATGGTTTGCTGATTGAGAGAAGCTTCACTTTCGGGATAGAGATCGTTTTCTCATGTTTTGAAATCTTTCTCTCGAGTCTTTGGCCATAAACAGAAGCTCCAGTTGAACGAAAGGCAAAAAAGATGCTCGAGGTAGCGAGTGGTACGCTGATCACCATGCCAGTTCCACTCAGAGATCCACTCAATGAAAAGAGAGTGGAAGTGACACCACTTGAAACTGATGTTGCGTGAGCAATGAATTTCACCCTTCGATATTTTTTTGCGACTTGTTTGTAGTGAGAAATGTCACTCTCGAGTTCCCTCTGATAATCACAGATCTTCAATCTGAAATCTTCCCCCGTCAGAAGAGAAGTATAGATATGCGGTGGAGCAGTCGGATGAATAATTTCAGCAGCCATTTTATTTATTCTCAAATTATCTCGATTTCAAGCCTCACTGGGAGACGGTTGAAATCCATAATCTCACCGAAAATTCTCATGTTTAGGATCTGGGGAGAGGAGAAAGATCACGATCGAAACGAACACTTTTGTTGGATAGATTTCCAATGACAATTGCACCCTTTGCGTTTTTGAACTGAACGTCCAACTGTTGCTTTTGAAATGTTCTTTTGAGCTCTTCTTGATGGTGTTGAGTGTGTAATGACTCGAAGGAATCTTTTCAATCATTGCATTGCCATGACCATCATCAGAGATTGAAATCTCCCCATCCCTCTTCAACTTCTGTCAGGAGTTGTAGAATGAACAACTCAGAAGCCTGATGAAAACTTTGGGGGGGGTTCTTTGAAATCATTGGCATCAGCGATCACTCTGAGCACAACCATTTTATATCATCCCAGCAATAAATATGTTTGCTTGATTGAGAACAGATGATACGTAGATAATTGATGACAAAGCAAGGGTGAGCCTGGAATTAGTTCAAAGCGAGATATCCCAAAGTGGATTTGAGCAAGTTTAACACGCAAGTGAATAAAAATAAAGGTAGTTATCAGCCGAAGTTTATTTTATTCATGAAATGGAGTTCAGTCAAGTGTCTAAAAATCAGACCAAAGATATTGGAGCATTGATATGAAGATAGCTCAGCGCATTGGGGGTTTTCCCATTGAACTCATTCTGAGCCGGTGGGGAGGATGAGGGGGGGGTGGTGAGAAGGAGGTGCCAGCAGTTTCATTTCATGAGGAACCTGTCAGAACCTCCTTCGGAAGATCCCTGAATGAGGAGGTGGAGATTTTCGTCATTCTGTATCAATATTTCAAGTGATATCATTATCAACGTTTCAAATCTATTTCAACGTCAAAAGGATTCTCTTTGAGATGGATGGAATTCAGTGGGAATCGGCTTTCCCAAGTGATCCAACCTTCGACCAAACTGACATCAGTTACGACACACTACCATTCAAAAGAATCTGTGCAGAATTTGGAATCGACTCGAGCAGTGATTTCCGTTATCAAGAAGGAGAGAATCATGGTCTTGAACCCGTTTTCATCTATATCTCGAATCTTAGTCAGCAACTTCAAACTCTTACCCAGGAATAGGGAAGTTCAGTGATGGAGGTGGAAAAGCCATCGAAAGAAATATGATCGACTTCCTGGGGTATGACATCATGAAAGTTTAGAGGCAATTCGACTACTTCATGGCAAACGAGTCAGGTGGTCTGACACACACCGGAATGGAGAGACTGAATCAGCCGATTGAAGCTTTTCTCTATTGCAATCTTGATTCTCAAGTCAATCAGGAAGTGCAAAGGATTCTCAGTCTGACTTTCTCGTTTTGGTTTAGATGCGATCAGAAAGCCAGAAATTTCAGGGAGTGTTGAGAGATTTCAGTTCACTTTTAGTGGAGCAAAAGTCAGACTCAATCTCGCAGTTTCTCTAGGTACTCAGCTCGTGGCTTCAAATCTTCTTCTGAACACTCAGAGTGCTGTTGAGTACATAACAGTTTGAAGAGGGCAACTGCTGACATGAAACTCGGGGTGAACAGGTCAGTGAACTTGGAGATGAGATTAGTGGGAGTCTGGCAAATGAATGGAGGTCCATCAAAGATTGACAGAGTGAACTCTCAACCCTAAACCCTCCCAACCCTTGATCCTTGACAACTGCGAGACAGGTGAAGTCACCACCACAAACCTATAGAGTCGGTGAATCCAATCGTGAAACAATCAAGATCGGGTTGATATCAGTAGCAGACGTGGTTTCAGCTTTAACGATTCAATTCTCTTTTTAATCTGCTCAACCATGGAGATCGCAACGTCCATTATCAGAATAAATGCATTCTCACTGAGGAAGCCGATCACTGATCTGGCAGGTTTGAAGACGAAGCCAAGAACTGAATCAACGAGACCTTGGAGGATTCCCCCGATCTTGCTTCCAAGAGTCTTGAAACCATGTTCAACTTTGACGACAGACTTCAGACCTCCAGTTAATGAGCTCACAATCACTCCAATCGTTGTTACAACTGCCAGGACGACAGCTGAAACCGTGAGGTCATATTTTTTGAAAGTGTCTCACCCTCTCTCTGAGTGATGATCTAGCCTCTAGCTCTTCTCTCTCGTTCATAAGACCATCGAGCTGTTGTGTCTTCCCAGCAACCTTTTCTCTTGCTCTTTCTAGCAAACCTTTGTTCTTCTTAAATGGACCTCTGTTTCTCTACAATTTTTTCCTCTATCTCAGCAATTAGTTCCTCTTTTGATGGACCAAGAATTTTGTTTTGAACAATCGAGGAAAGACTTTTGAAATCTTCTGTCTCTTCTGAGCACTTCATATTTCCCTAGAGCTCTCTTGCTAAAAGCATTGGTAATTGCAAAAACTTCTCCGTTTTCAACTCTGATCTTGATCTAGTTTTTCACTAGCAATCACGAGTGAAACTTCTTCAAGCGGTTCAGGTATTCCACCTCGAATAAGAGATATCTCTGCATTCTTTGGTTCTCTCTCTCCCCCACATTGTCGTCATTGAAATATCTTCACCTGAAGGACTGGGGGTTGCATTGAAATCACGTCGAAAAGGTGTTGTTTATTTCCATCATCATCATCATCGTCGTCGTCGTCGTCATTGTGTTGTAACAGGGGATCAGTGTCTCCAAATTTAACCATTTTGAACCGTTGAAATAAAGTAACCTTTAAATAAAGTAGTAGTCAATGAGAGAATCAATCCGGGTTTTGAAAAGAAAACATAGAACGCTCCAAAAGAAGAACGCATGGTTTATCGAGACACATTCAATCCAAGCAGAGCAAATCCAGGTGAGATTCTGATTTTCTGTTCCAAAGCTTGGTGACAGCATTGTCATATAAACAGGACCTCTTACTCTATGTTCGACCTGACAGTGAGTGGTTATGCAATCAATTTCTTAATGAACAATGTATCAAGAGTTGATGACTTTGAAATTCACAAATGGCTTCAAACTATGAAAACTCTTTGAAGACCTCTTCTTGACGGGGCATGAAGGATCGCACATGCTGAGAGAGTGAATTCAATATGTCGACCTTTCAAAGATCAGATGCAATGCTGGAGATGAGAAGACTTCGGAAGTTTCAAAAGAGATCAAACTGAATTTGATTTACAGAACCGGTTAGACTATATTATTGGATCGAGAGATTCTAAAAGATAATGATTTCGTCTTTCCAAAATGAATTTCAAATGATCTTGTTTTTGAACTCAGGCTTGCACTTTCAAGCAACGTTGTGAAGGGATCTGAATCAGGAAAGCTTGCGTATGAATTGATTCACAATGAAAAACTTATCAATGAAGTGGGATCAGATTTTTAGAGTGGGAGGAGATTCATGTATGAGCGTGTTAAACATCACAAGACATTGAAAATTGCCAAAGAAACTTACACGATAATCAATGAAAGCATCAATGTTCCATGGAGATCTTCTACGAGACATATGCTGCAGGAGCGAGGGACAGTGAAAAGACATTCAACCATGACATCACTGAGGTGAAAGAGACCATCCATGGAATTTCAAATAAATTGTTCAGTCAGGGGATGAAGACGGGAGATCCTTGGAAGGAGGTCTGGAGAAGACTCGGAAAGGAGAACAGTTCAATGAATGCGACTAACGTTTTGCTGGAGACAGGTTTCGTCTCTTCATCAATCTAATAAGCATGAAAGACAATGATCTTCATGGCTCTGGATTGAGATCTAATGAGATTCACAGATATGGATCAGGTTCAGGCGATGTGAAATGTCACATCATCTTCTCAGACACCCAGGTTGAAATTGTGTACCGAGAGCTTGTGAGAGTGACTTATGGACCTCTCACTGGCGGGAGATGATATTGAAATGAGAATATTTCAATATCAGCGAATTTCTTCCAGAGGAAGCTCAGTTACATGAGGAACAATCTCTGGCGAATCCATGCTTTGCCCCATCTTTCAGGAAATAGAAAACTGGTTCACTTTTGTCCACAATTGATCTCTTGATGTTGAAAACCTTCAGTGGCCATATTGGATCTGCTGCTCTTCTCTAACTCACATTCTTCGTGGAGTTTCTTCTCTCCTCTTTAAAGCCGACAGGCCTTCAATAATTGGTTGAACCCTTCACGTCAACTGTGATCTCTTTTATGGCATCAACAGCCTTTTTGCAGTCAATCTGGTCACTTCAGGATTAAAAGCTGAGACCACTTCTAAAGCATCTTGACCCCTTCAGCGGATCTCTTTGATGAAGATGTGAAGTTCATCTCTTGACTGTATTGGAAGGAGAAGAAGCGTTTACCCAAATTTTGATTGAATCTCTCAACGATTCCTTGACCCCTGTGAACGTTCACATTCCCTCTTCTGTTCCTCACATCATCGACCCTTTTGGTCACCTTCTTCGCGATCCATCTATATCCGGCTGTGATCTCTGTGATCACTGCGGCATCGGATACTGTTTTCATCAGTTTATTCTCAAACATTTTATTTGAAGAAAAAATTTTCAATCCATTGGTCTCATTCCTGTGACTGGTCTCCAACTCACTGGAGCAGAGACCTCGGGGTGATCTTTAGTCTCCTGCTCCATTTCTGCCTCTGGCTGATTTTTTTAAGAGAGTCATCACCCCTTCACTTTTGAATTACATTCCACCCAGTGAAAGAACAATACTTGCAACTGAAAGCATCTGAGTAAGTGCAAATGATGTTTCAACTATCTGCCTGGTGACCTCCTCACGTTGATCAGACACAATAGAGTTTTCACGTAAGGTTTGATCCTTCATCGTTTTTCTCAATTTCTTGTTGTTTTCGCCAAGCCGTTTGCCAGCTGCAACTCTTCCAGGATCTTTCTTTGGTCTTGTCTTAGCTGCCTCACGCTCATCCATTTTATTCGTTGGTAAATATTTTTCAAGTTTTCTCTCAAGTTCCTTCTCAAGGTCTTTCTTAAGTTTTTGTCAAGTTCTTTCTCAAGTTCTTGTCAAGTTCTTTTCAAGTTCTTGTCAGGTTCATTTTTAAGTTCTTCCTCAAGTTCCTTCTCGAGTTTTGCTAAGTTTCTTCTCAAATTTCTTCTCAAGTTCTTCCTCAAGTTCTTGTTAAGTTCCTTCTTAAGTACTTGTCAAGTTCTTGTCAAGTTCCTTGTCAGGTTTCTTGTCGAGTTCTTGTCGAGTTCTTGTCGAGTTCTTGTCGAGTTCTTGTCAAGTTCTTGTCAAGTTCTTGTCAAGTTCTTTCTCAAGCTCTTTCTCAAACTATTTTCAAGTTCTTGACAAGTTCCTTCTCAAGTTCTTGTCAAGTTCTTGACAAGTTCCTTCTCAAGTTCTTTCTCACGTTGTTATTCTCAAGTTCTTCTCAAGTTCTTGTCAAGTTCTTTAGGAGGATGTGCGTGATCGTATTCAACATTCTTAAGGGCAGCACTTGCAATCGCCATGCATTTTCCATACCTCAGATTCAATGCATCAGCAATCATCCCGAGTTCTCTCTTCACCGCGAAGTTTTCATTCAAGTCCTTCAGAAGTTTTCCTTCATCAACAGGGTGAAAATATGCCAATGCTTTGCATGAAAGCTAAAGAAATGTATCAACTATCGCATCACAATTCTTTGGAGACAATTAGATCTCACATTTCTTGAAGTACCCCTCAACATCTTTCCTAGAAAGTCTCTTAACCTTATCTTGAGTTAGGTCTTGCCCAATTATTTCCTTTGCTTTTCCGGTTGCAACGAGAACAGCGAGTTGTTCTCGATTATCTGAATCATTTGAAGGTTTAACCTCGAGAATGTTCAGAAAATCATTGACAGCGTCTTGTTTGTTGTCAGTCATCTCCATTTTATTTGAGGAATGGAAATACTTTCATGGAAATTCAAGATCAGTGCAAAAGGGATGACGAAGTCAGAAGACGAGACGTTAATGCTTCGCACTCATGATCTTTGCCATCAGTTCTTTCTTTTAATCATTCGTCATCTCACCTGCGTAATCAACGAAACTAATATGTCTTTGGCTGTCGTTGTGTAAAAGAGAACCAATGAAGCCATGTTCTCTCCGAATGCCTTCGCGATACTCGACATCTGCTATGTGAGAACCCACAGGCTAATACCTTCTTATCTTGCGCTGAATGCCAAATTCACGAGTTCATTTGTCTTCGTCTTCACATCTCTCGAAGCCGCGCAGTCATCTAGAATGATCAGTGCATTTTTTCCCTTGCGCACATGACTGGTGATCTTGAGCAAATCATCCATCTGATCTTAGAGTGGAGTCAATACGAAGAAGTCTTTGTCACGTTCTCCGAAGCCATCGTATGTCTTTTTGTGAATGAATGTCGGACAGAGGAGGATGATGTGGTCGAACTTTCCTCGGAAGGTTCCGCTGAAGAGATTGACCGAATATCAGCTCAGGAAGATGAACTGCATTGACTCGACCAAGCATGCGCTCTTCTCTAAAACTCTCGACAAGATTGCTCTCTCTACGAACGATGGCAAGAGACATGTTGTCGTTGACACGATTTCCACTCTTGCTCATGGACATAGGCTTTTGCGAGGGAGAGTGTGAAATTTCGGAATCAAAGTGTGATCAAAGTGAAATCAAAATGCAATGAAAAATTGTCTCAAATTGATTGAGGGCTGTGCTAGAACTCTCGTCTTCCTACTAATTTGTTAGAATTATCGTTAGTTATCTCTAACCGGAAATATCACAGTCTTTAAGTCTAAAACAAAACAAACAAACAAACAAAACTGATAAAGATGAGTGAAACAGGTAAGTCACGTAATAACATAGTATTAAAAGTAATTTCAAAGCTGTTAGTAGCGTCTGCTTCCCAAGGAAAATACTATTGTAACAAAACAAAAAAAATATTAGTACTGTAAGTAGTCCTAGCATTGAAGAAATGTTTTTTTCCCCTTAACTTTAGCAATTTTAGTTTTCTACATAGTGTTAACCTTTTTATAGTAGTTTTCAAGCATTGTTGTTTTCTTTTTTGTAAAGAAAAGAAAAACGAAACCGGTCACAGCACTTTATAACATTTTAAAACTTTTATTAACTTTTCCAATGCTGTTATTCTGTTTTATTGCAAAGTAGCCTGGCTGGTAATGAAATATGGGTACAGTCTCGACATTCCTCGACAGACCTTCGACCGACTATCGACCGATAACCAACTCATACTCTGTTAAATAGCGGTGAAATGGCAGTGAAGTGTCGGTGACATATCAATGGAGTATTGGCATTCTTCGATCGAGATATCGAACGACTCTCCACCGATATATGTCTACCGACTATCCACCGACAATCGATCGACATGTCGACCGCTGAGTCGAATGCAATAGCAACCCGACACTACCTTTAGTGCACATGATTCGAATGCTTTCATATGTATGGGATGCATTTAGTTTAATTTTTCTGTAAACGTGTTTTTGTTCTTTTATCTCGCGATATTTCTATAGTGTTATGAATTGATTCTTGAAAAATTTAACTTTAACTGTAGCTAAGACATCGCCAGATCATGTCCAGGTGACAGTGACCAACTCGAAAGCGTGTAAGCTACAAGCAGAAAAATTTTGGTTGGCAAGGACGGTCCATTTGTAAAACGTGGAAAAAACCTTGAATGGGATTGATAATTAATAATAATAATAATGATACTTTATTCGTTTAGCGCTATTTCTATCGCTATCCAATGGAGGCTAAAATGGTTTTTTAAAAAATATCTTACGTAGAAGTATTTAAAAAACGAGTCAGATAAACTAAATAATAGCCAAACAGTCAAAATGAGAAAAAACTAACAAATATAGATATCAATAAGAAGTAAAAATCAATACATTAGAAACATAGAAGAACATAGAAACAGATGAACAGTTGAAAAAATTGAAAATCCTATGATAAAATCTAAAATCAAGTGGATCTTAGGAGTTGGGAAACTATAAAAAGGAACCTAATTGAACCATAAAATGATTCAAACTCTGTTGGTTTCCAAGAAAAAATTGCCTTTTAAAGTCCTATTTAAAACTTTTTATTGATGTCTTTTGTAGTAAGGTAATAGGGAAACTGTTCCATAGTTGACATGTGGTAACACTGAAAGTCTTACCGCCATCTAATTTACGTTTCAACTTTGGGCAAACTAAGATATGGTTTGCATACCTAGTATTACGAGAGTGAAGATCACTATTACGTGTTAAAAGGCGA